GTCTGGATGAGAGAGGACACAGAGCAGGAGGCCCAGGCAGGCACTACCCCCTTCCATCTAAAGTGCCCCTTGTCAGGTAAGCCCCACCCTGTTCAATCAGCCACCTGCTGCCTCCCACCTCTGATCCCCACGTGGAACAATACAGATTAGAGGTTCTGAGGCAGCCTCAAGGCAGAGCTGCCTGGGCCGGATGAATACATGGCAACAAACCCATGGGTGAGGGCAGCGGCTCCTCAAAAGGAGGAAAGGATAAATGGGGATGAATGCAGAGGCCTCGGCTCCCATACTAATTACCTCTGCTGCCAGCCAGGCACTCAGAAATGTGACTCACCCCATGTTCTTAAATACCCTGCAAAACAACTCCCCCAAGCACCATAAACACCACACGCAGACAGCATACCACACACACCACACATACGCTACACCATACACATCCCACACCCCATCCCACATAGGTCCAGAGAAACAGTCTCTTTTACTGTCTTGAGTGCTGGCCCCACAGAAACTGCTGAGGACTCTGTGGGACTCTATGTGAGCAGGGCGGTCAGGACCCTGCCAGAGCCAGACTCCCCAGTTCCAAATCCTACCCTGGGGCTGGAGACTAGTCCAGTAGGCGCATGCCCTGTAGGTCTCACCCCCCAGCATTGTCCAAATCGATAAATAAGATAATAAAAGTCCTACCCCGGACCACTTGCTAGCCTGCTATGACTCTGAGTGGCTGGTTTAACTTCTCTTGCCTCAGTTTCTTCATTTGCAAAGTGAGGGTAATAACAGCACCCCATCACAGGGCGGTGGTAAGCACTGAGATAACTATTGGAAGTGGGTGTGGTGGCATTCACCTGTAATCCCAGCATCTGAGAAGCTGATGCAGGAGGATCTCAAGTCTGAGTTCAGTCTCAAACAGGAGGTGGGGGCTGTGCAGTGGCCAGGTGGGTAAAGTGTTTGCCCAGCAAGTGTGAAGACCAAAACTTCAGATCCCCTACAAATTGGGTTTCCCTAATGCAGGGCTGTAATCCCAGTAGGTGGAGCTTGGTTACCTGGGGCAAGCTGGCTGGCTGGCTGGACTAGCTGAACTGGCAAGTTCAGGGTTCACTATGAGACCCGCCTCGATAAAGAAAATGACAAAGAATCTCCAACACCAAATGTCAACCTCTGGCCCCCACATGCACATACACCCCACATGTACACACAGCCATAAGCAAACATGGATGCACACTCTCTCATGCACACACACAGGAGTATCTACTAGCGTACACACATGAACATACACACTTACATGTCCTACAGAGTGTAGGACACTAGCTAACGTAAAGGTTCCACTGTCTGCAGGGGTAAATTCGTCTTCTGGGGATTTTCTAGGAGGGGCTGTTGCCATGGAGATGGAACCACGAGGGGGCTCTCCCATCTGTTTATCTACCACTGGTTTCTAGTCTCTCCTATCATATGCCAAAGCCAACAGGTCCTGGAGGCGGTGGGAAGGAGACAAGCTTTTGAATGGGAACTGGAGCCCTGAGCATGAGCCTCACGTCAAGGTTGAACCAGGCCAGTGGCCCTGAAACCAGCCCTGGCTATTAAGTAGTCAGAGCCAATGCTGCCAGAGACCACACACTGGGACTTCTCCTGGGAGGTAGAATCCCTTCCCTTTGGTCCCCTCATAGGGATGGAAAACAAAATGTCCCAAACTGCCCTGAAACCCTTCTGAACAGCCTCCCTTAGCCCTGCAGCTAAGAGCAAGGTCCCAAAGGGATCATTCTTCCTGCCGCACCAGTGCAGGAGGGCAGAATTTGAACCAGCACACACACACACACACACACACACACACACACACACACACACGGACAAAATGAGCAGGTGTGTGTGTATGGGGGTGCGGGGGCTCCCAGCCTCAGCATAGGTCACAGCTCAGTACCCGGCTGAATATCTGCAGCAGTTCACACTCTCCTCAGATTCCAAGGTCTCAGCGGGAGGAGAGTGGGCCAGTAGAACTTGTGACAGCGGTGTTACCTAACCTCTGCAAACCTCAGTCTCCTCCACGGTAAGGCAGAGATGGTTGTGCTGCTCGAACGAGATCCACGGGAGGAAAAGCCCTTTGCCCAGAGGAAGCAGGAGGTGCTTGCTCAAGAGTCCCATTGTCCTGTTGGGACCGTGAAGGCAATGAGGTCAAGCCGCCCGGCCAGCGGCTTCATGGAATCTACAGACCAAGCTAGGAATCCATATTTCCCCCCCAGCTCCTGACCTCAGGCCTTACAACTGTACCCCAGTCCTGGCCTCATGTCTGGCAGAAGTCCAGATTTAGTCGGGAAGCCAATCTCTCTTGAGCCCCAGCGTTTCACTCTGTCCCAGCTCACTCCTCTGGAGCTGAGGTGTTTCCTGCTTGGCTGGGTTAAACCGTTACAAGGTTTCCTGACACTAAACTCTTTCCCAGACCCAAACTGTCTCTGCCTCCCTCTGATATCTTTTCCAAGTCAGACAGTGTCATCATTTTCATTACCCCAGGCTGCCTAGACACTGCCCTCTTTGGGGCTCTCAACTTTACAGACCCTCTAAGGTTAGTAACTTAGTGCAGCAGGAACGTCAGCCCTGTGAGCCATGAATATGCAAAGCAGCTGCCAGCCGGTAAATAAAAGCAATCATTTAAATGCAAATTGCAGCCTAGGCTGCCTGAACCTCCTTCTCTGGGTGCAGTTCTGAGGCGAGAGCGTGACTAACTCGGAATCCCCAGTTAGCTCAAAACTGAAATACGACACAGGTCTTGGACCCTGGGTGAGGGGCTCCCTAGGGTAGATAAGAACAGTCTAGAAGTAAGAGGTGGATCTTTAAAAACTCAAGTCACTCCTCCAATTAGCTCACAAGGCTCTCTTGGGCTCAGAGCATTTGACCCAGGCTGGATCCATAGCAATCCTTAGCCGGGACTCCCTGCACCACACAGCATCCTTGCCAGCGGAAGGAAGGGAGCTGCTTGCGGTCTGTCTCCTTGTGGAGGTCAAGGGAACTTTTAAAAAATCACACCCCGTGGCCTCCTGCTGAGAACCCTCCAAGGATTCAGTGGCCCCGAACAGAATAAATTCTAAATGCCTTTTTATGACTCCAGAGACCAGGATCTGTCTAGCGCCTCTGGTCCCCACTCGCCTATCCACAAATCCGCCCCCACACTGGCTACAATGGTCTTTGTGTCTCTTCCTCCAAGCTCATTCCCACCTCCACGCTTCTGCAGCCTGGATGCCCTTTGCCCCCAAATCGCCCTCTAAGTGGAGCCCCCCCCCCGCTGGGGTCCACTCAAAAATGCCATTCCGCAGATGTCGCCCCACGCACCACAAGCCCTGTTCACTTCATTTTCCAGGCAGCCCTGTCCCAGCAGGTGTTATATGGGGTGATATTTACTTGCTCTATTAGCGTTTCTTCATCCACTTCTCTGCGGTCTCACGTCCCCGCTCCCGCCCCAATCTTGATCTATTCATTTTATACAAGTTATTTCTTCAGCACTCGGTTGTGTCCACTACAATGTATTGAAAAGCAAGCAAGCAAACAAACAAACCCAGCAAGGATTAGAGTCTGTATAAAGAAAGCTCTCTTCTTACTGCCCGGGTCCCAAACTGCAACCCCTTCCCCTCCCATCTTTCCTCCTTCCAACTCAGCTGGCCCTTTTCAGACGTAGAAGCAAGGGATCAGGCAAACAATGTTCACAATCGAGATAGAAAACTAGCCGGGAGGAGGATTTCCAACCAACAGATGCCAATTTGCATTCTATTTACATGCTATTTGCATGTAGTTTAACTCCAAGTGTGGTTATTCCCAAAGCCCCGAGAGCCCACCGAAGAAACTTAGGAAGTAACGTTCTAAGTACTGCGGTGGTGGTGGGTATGTTTAGCCTCTCTCGCATTCTCTGGTCGTTGTGGGGACCCCCAGAGCTTTCTGGACGCTGCTCAGGTGCCCCCACCCCGGCGCACTCGGGCGGCCGAAGCGGCGCGTGTGCTGGGGCCCCAGGCGGGGACGGTGGTGCCCGCCACACTCCCGGGGCCTTTGTCCCTGTTCCAAAGAGCCGCCCCCTTGGCGAACAGAAGAAGGGGTGGGGGGGGGGGCAGGACAGGCCTGGGTCTGGCGGTGCAGGAACAGGGGGACGAGCCCTATGTTCTGGGGCGTCCTCTGGGACAAGGTCGGTGGGCTGATCCAAAGCTTTTAACCAGCTACCGCTGGCTAAGGCGGGATGCGGGCTCCTCTTCTGGGCTTGCCTCTCCCACCCGGTCCTCTAAATGTGTGGGATCCTTGTGCAGTCCCCCAGAAAGAGGGGGCGCTGCACCGGGTAGTCCTTACCTCTAGCCAGACTGTCTCCCTTAGAGGCCCAAGTGCCCTCGCCTGGGACAGAAATTCTCCCCCTTAACCGTATGCAGCCGCCCCTGGATTTCCAGCCTACTATTTGTTTCCCAGCCCCAGATTTCCTCCCTGTGGTGCCCACCCTCTTGCGCCCTTTTCCAAGAGTGCGCGGCCACTGCGGGTTGCAAGTTGGGTCCCCCAGATCCTGCGGCAGGTGAGGTTGCACGTCCCCAAAGGCCGTCCCTTTCCCCAGGCCAAGTCTGCGTAGTTCATTGCCAGCACCCCCGCCCCGCTCCCCGCCTGGACCCTGAAACCTGACTGCGACGCCTCTCACAGGGGTCACTAGCACAGGGTCGGACTCCCCTTTACTCCCAGCTGCCTGTCGTCTGTCGTCACCCCAGACCCTACTCAGAGCTTTGGCTCTCTATCTGGTCCATGAACAACCCCCCCCCCTCAGATAAAGGTTCCCAAACCCTTGCTCTCGGTCAGCCTTCTGCGGCTCCTCTCCTACCGCACTGTGGCACCCCTCACCCGATCACCCACAGCTTTCCATGCAGATGTACCCCGAGGAGGGAGAACAGAAAAAGCATGAGCCTCGGATCCCCTCCGGATCTTCACAAGCCCACGGCGGGAAAAGTTTCTGGGGTCCTTGCGGCGCCCTCCCCGCGCCCGCGCTACTTGGCACTTACCGACCCTCGCGGCCCCGCAGCGCCGACGCTCCTGCTGGCCCTGGGCCCGAGTCACATCTCTGCAGCGCGCCCGCGGCCCCCGCTCCGCGCACGCCCGCCAGCCGAGCCCGCCTCACTGCATCGTCCTTTCGAGCCGCGGTAGCGCGAGGCGCCCCCTGGCCCGGCCCGCGCTGCAGCAGCCGAAGCCCCGCCCCTCGGGTAGGCCCCGCCCCCCACCAGGTCCCTTCCCGGCTGGGTCTGCTCTGGACCAGCCGCAGGCAGCCCGCAAACCCCAGTCTCCCGGCTTGTTCTGACTTCTGAAACGCCTTCCACCTCTAAACAAACCTCCGGTGTCCCCAATTCGAAGTCATCGTCTCCCTGGTAAGAGTCCAGTCGTTCAATTGCCCAGGTTGATCTGTGTGCAGAAGCATTCTTACTCAGCCACATACAACACAATATTCCTACGGGGGTCGTAGAGGGGCACTCGCCACACATACCGGAAGACAGTCCTGAGCTCAGATTCTCAGAGACTGCACGCGTTTTAAAGTCACCAAAGCCTCGGTATGATGCAGGTCCCCACCGGTCACATTCCGCGCCTTCCACCCCGCTCCAGCCCTCCCTTTTCTCATTGCGCACACTGAATCCAGGACCGGTATCCTCGGCAATCCCAAACATGAACCTCACCACGGTGACCCACTCACGTGGGTCCGTGTTCACGATCGCCAACGTCTCTCACACTTCATTCATGTAGGCACATACCTGCCACTCTCCCAGGCACACATACCCACAGAAAGCCCAGTCTCTGCGTGACCTGATGCTCAGGGCAATTAACACCGGTGCCCACAAGGCGGGCGTGGGATTTGCATGGAAGGGGGGCTATAGAACATCCCCACCCGGCTGTCTGAGGTCAGCCCTGCCTAGGCTAGGCCTTGGGGGACGCGCTTTAGCATCCCATGCAGCAGCAAGCTGGCAGTCTCAGGCCGTCGTCGCTCACCTTTTCTCCCACCTTTGGTCTTTAGGTGAGGCCACCCATTCTAAGCCCAGTGATGTTGACGCCAAGACGCGAATGGGAACAGAAAGGTGGCTGCAGAAATAACACTCCTCTTAGAAGTAGTCATAGCCCCTGTGTCTGGGGATTATGAACTTTTCGAATACTTGCATTTCTTCTCGCCAGTCTCAGAAAGTCCCCTATCCTGCTCTCTAAGTTGGTTTTCTCTGGGTCAGGCAATGTGGCTTGGCCACACGTCTCGGTGAATACCTTTTTTTTTTTTAAGGACACATGTAGGGGGCGTATTTATAGGGCAGAGCCCTCCCCCCAAGTTTACAGAGGTGTCCCCTTGCCAAGAACAGTACTTGGTACACAGTAGGAGCTCATTAAATGTTTTGCAGTACAAGGGTTTACTAAGCCTGTCCTGGTCAGGCTGAGGAACTGGAACGTGGATGGACACTGCCTCCTGGTGGTGCTTAGTGGAACTGGCACCGACAGCTTCTAAACGTTGCTACATGTTCCTTCCTCTGTAAAACCCAGATTGTTTTAATACGCGTTTGCTGGTGTATGCCTGGAACACATTGTAAAGTTCTTCTCATAGGTGCCTGGCCTTAGAAAGCCCAGTTCAGTGTGGGATGAACAACATCTGGTTTCATGGCCCAGTGGTCCAGTTGGTGTCATTTATAATGTCCAGTAGCATGCCAGAGGAGCCTCAAGTTCCCAGAGAGATTGCTGGATCTACCGCCTTGGAGAGAACAGCTCTGGGGGCACTGGGACCTCCTAAGAGTGAAGTCTGTCTAGAGAAGTGGTTCTCAACCTTTCTGATACTGTGACCCCTTAATACCGCATGTTGTGGTGACCCCCAACCATAAAATCATTTGCGTTGCTACTCCATCACTGTAATTTTTCTGCTGTTGTGAATTGTAATGTAAATCTCTGATATGCAGGATATCAGGTACACAGCTGCTGTGAAGGGATTGTTTCAACCCCAAAGGGTCACAATCTGCAGGTTGAGAACCACTGGGCTAGGGAGTTAGGCTCTCACATGCTCGGCCCACTGCAGGCTCATCAAACAAATGCACTCACTCATAAGTGGCTTTTAGACATAAAGCAAAGAAAACCAGCCTACAGTTCACAAGTCCAGAGAACCTAGACAACAAAGAGGACCAAAAGAGAGACATACATGGATCTAATCTTCATGGGAACTAGAAAAAGACAAGATCTCCTGAGTAAATTGAGAGCACAGGGACCATGGGAGAGGGTAGAAGAGGAGGGGAGAGGAGAGGAAGGGAGGGAGGGAAGGGAGAAAAATGTATAGCTCAATAAAAACAATAAAAAAGATGTGTTCAGTTAAACATATAAAATGTTAATCATATAAAAATAAATAACCTCCAAAACCAAGTATCTCCACTGGCTTAACTTATCTAAAAAATGAAGAGGGCTGGGGCCTTCCCAGTGACACTCAGTCTGTGAGGCTTTGTCTGTTGGTGTGTCCCGCCAGAGCCAGACTGAGCTCAAGTCCGCGCTGTCCGGGCCTTGAGCGCATTCCCGTGGACTGCTACCACCGTGCAACTGAGCTTTCAGTTTTAATCTATTTTTGTGTAACATAAGCAGCACGTGGTTAGTGGCTATAGATGCACAGTGCATCTCCATGCAGAAGCACTCCTCAAAGGAGCTGTACCTTAGGGATGGAGAGCTTGCCTGACATGCAGGAAGCCCCGGGTTTGATCCCCGGCACTGCATAAGCCAGGTGTGGTTGGTGGTGTACAACTGTAATCCCAGCACCCAGGCGACGGGGGCAGGAGGATCTGAGTTTCAAAGTCACCCTCAGTGACATAGCTACGTAGAAGCCAGTTAGACTCTGTCTCCGGGCCGTGGGGCGTGGGCACGTCATGTGCCACGTTCGCCCTTGTCTCATGTTCATCTGTGCTAGTCTCCTCACACAGGGAGAGGCACGGCTCACCAAGCATTTGCTGAGTGAAAGAATAATTAAAGTTCAGCTTTGCCTTCCCGTGCAAGGCCTGTCCATCTTGTGCCAGGGAATTGAGCATGCTCTTTACTCTTCAAGTCAGTAGATCACCTCCCAGATGGGTTTGTGGCTCGTGGCTGCGAAGTCCTCCATCTATTTGCTGTGGACATTTTCCTTTATCCATAGGATTTCTGGAATTGTCTGTGTCTTGTGTGTGACAAGCAGAGGCTTAGAGAGCTGGGGGCTTGGCTTCCTAGAAGTCTGAGTGGTGCTTGGGGAGAGGCAGGACTCTAATCTAGCTCGCTACGTTTCACTCTCTTGCAGGTGATGTTTCTGGAAAGATCAAGATGCTCCATGGATAAGTGTCTTAGAGGTGGGGGTGGGGTCGAGAGATGTTTTCAGGGCCTTTTGTGTTCGGATGAGAAGCGTCCTCATGTTTCCCTGTTGTTTGTGCTCGTTGGAGGAAGATATGGAACCTGAGAAGGTTCTTCCCTGATGGAGGAAGATGAGGGTCAGATTTGAGAGCTTACAGTCTCACCCCACTTTCAGTTTGTCCCCTCTGCTTCCTGTGTACAGTTGAGATAGGATCCCTAAGCCTCCTGCCCTCGTGGCTATGCCCTTCCCACCGTCCTATCCTCTGGAACCAGAAGCCAATCAAACGGCTTTTCTTTAAGTTTCTTGGTCATGGTATTTTATCAAAGCAATAGAAAAATAATTAATTCAGTGCCTCTCTAATTATTCTGGACACAGGAATGCAATATCTGTTAAATACTGGAGTCTGTGCTGATGTGGGATTCCCCTCTGTATGGTATGAATATGTTTTATTACCATTGCTTAATAAAGATGCTTTGGCCTATGGAAGGGCAGAATATAGGTAGGCAGGAAAACTAAACTGAATGCAGGGAGAAAGAAGGCAGAGGCAGGCAGGCAGATGCCAAGGAGAAAGATGCCAGAAACTTACCGGTAAGCAACAGCCTTGTGGCAATACACAGATGAATAGAAATGGGTTAATTTAAGACATAAGAGCTGGCCAGGCATATGTTTGAGCCATTGGCCAGTGTTGTAATTAACATAGTTTTGTGTGATTATTCAGGTCTGGGCAGCCGGGACACAAAGCACAGTTTGCACTGTGCCAGGCGCTGCTGGAGGTTTATGCCTAGACGTGAGATCTGGCTCTAGGGCTACCACATTTTCAAAGGAGGCTAACTTGTGCGGAGACCTTCTACTGCAGGCCTGCAGGGAACCCTGGCTGGGTAAAAAGAAGCCCAGGTTGGCCGGGGACTCCAACACTTGATTTTGGGCCCCGGAGTAGAAATGGACCACTTCCTGTCATGCTTATCTCCAGATTCAGCTTTGGAGTGAGCAGCCAGGAGTAACCACCGAGCAGACCTGAGATACATCGGCAAATACGACAGTGCTATTGTTCCACTGTGTTGTGCCCATGACCGACATCACCAATTGATGCACTTTTCCATTGGTTCTTTTGCCTTCGGCCTATGGCTTTTGCCATACATTACATATTAGATGATTTAATTACCCCAGTAAGATGGCCCCAGTGATCTCCACAAATGACTTGCGGTCATCATACAGCAACTAATTACGCTGGCTCTCCTGCGTCAACTCTCATATGTCCACAAAATGGACATATGAGCAAACAGATCATGGCCTTGTGGTCCCCCGTGATGCCACCGTGGGGACTTTTACCCAGTATCCCGAAGCTGCCAGGAAACATTTGAATGACATGAAAATTGCTGTGGCCCAAACAATCAGGAGTTAGCTAGCATCCAAGGAGTCGTGGGTGGCCTAAAAGTTATTTTATTGCTTTATAATATTAACTCTTTCCAGTCTCCTGGTTTGCCACCTTCATGGTCATAAGATGGTTACCATAGCACCAAGCACCAAGGCTTTGCACAACAGTTTCCATCCTCGAGAATGGTGCTGAGGGTGGAAAGGCTCATTAAGAAAAAAAAAATCATTTCTATATCTGCCCCCACCCCTCCCAAACCAGGCATAAGATTCTCCTTATATTTATATTTATATTTATATTTATATTTATATTTATATTTATATTTATATTATATGTTCCCCTTGCATTTCCTTGATCCTATGGGGATTACCTAGCTTTCTGATCCTGCACAGGAGGCCAGAGGAGAGCACCCGACATAAGTGATCTACCTTTTCATTTTTTTCTGGGACAAGATTTCCTGTA